TACTAAAAATACTAGTAAGCATCAGAACTACAAGTCTTCAAGTGTAATATCCAGGTTCATCCCTAAAAAAATTAAAATAGTTTTTAAAATAGTCTTCAAGTGTAACAAACAAGAAAATATGCTATAAACGCAGATAAATTATGATTTTCAATAAAATTTCACCTTTATTTTCTATTTTAATTATATTCACTCCAAAGATACTAAAAAATTTAAAATAGTTTTTAACTTATAAAAGTTGCATTGGATATAAATATTAATCACTTAAAAATATTACAAATAGTTAAAAGTCAATCCCAATAAGCTAAAGCAGACATCAAACCAGCACCCAAAAGTAGAGAAATATTTGCTCCCAGTTGAAGATAAGTACTGTTTTGAAATCTTTCAGTTGTAAAATCTGCAGCTAAAAGATCAACAAGTGCCATATATATTAAGATTCCTGCCGACGCTGCGTTAAATATTCCTTCGATAATAAGAGCTTTTTGACTATTCTCTTCGTATCTGCTGCTAATTGCCATACCAATTCCTATTCCCACTGGGGTGGTCAGAGCAAAGAACAATCCCATAATTACTGTAGCGTTGTTCTTGAATTTTGCCTGCAATTATATATACACACATATATAGATGATGAATGAGATATTGAACAAATCTTGTAAAACTTTGTGTGCAGTAAAATGAGGATGGACTATTTTGGTTTTGGATGCTGTCAAAAGTTCCTTCAATTTCTATACATGATCAAAAAGATATTTATAACAAAACAAAAGGTAAATGTTACTCCCTCCATTCTTAAAATTATCCATCTTTTCAATACTACTGTTAATTGATTAATTAACTATAATAAATTCTAACATCATCTTATAATCTATCTTATTTCTTCTAATCCCTTTATTCACGATAATAATACTAATAGTTTTTGGACTTTGCGAACTAGTTAAGAAAATCTTATATTCAGGACAATAGGAAATATTTAAATTATAGAGTAATAGTGACTTTTTTTTTGGGGTATCATGGCACTAAATATCAACTGACTGGAGCTTGACTAACCCAAGTGGAGTCAGGAAAAATCACAAAGATGAGTAAATAAAAGGCAAGCTCATTGATTTATTCGGATAAACAAATGAAAATGAGTCGTGGCCAATGGCATGGGCCACTTTGGATTCCCTTTTGGTGTTTTTTTCCTCATGTCTTGTGACTTTTCCACGGATGAAATCGCTTGTTATTAGTGACTCTATTCCATTATGAGAGAAATTTTAGTTAGCTGTGTTGCTACGTATGAGTCCTTAATAATTATTTTTTAATATAACTCAGAGTATCCCAAAGTCAGTTAAGCTGAGAATGTTAAGGTTAAACTCTTTCAATAAGTGTTTTTCCCAAGATTTAAAGTTATTTTCTCTTTTTTATGGGGTAATATAATAAAACTGCTTACCATCTTAACCAATAATTTATTAGTGATTCCTTGATAATTTTGAATTACTCTTTTGGACATTTACGAAAAGAGACACACCTGAGCGATACAGCTTCCAAGACCCATTCCTTCAAAGAATTGATGAAACGTTAAAGCAGCCACCAGAGGCTTTATGTGTTTTGCATCCTCAGATGCTCCCAAACCTATTCCTATGATCACCGAATGCACTATTATCCCCACCTCCAACACCTGCATGCATATATATTATCCATTTTGTTCATTTTAAATTAATATTGTGTGTGTGTGTGTGTAAAGCACGATGTTAAACTGAGTGATCTTATAAATATATATATATATATATATATATATGCCTATACCTGTGATATGACTCTGTGACGAAGAAGCTGAGATGAATCTGAGGACCCATGAGCATGACCATTATTTGTTGCGTGAGTATGATGAAGATGAACATGTCCTTCGTGTCCTGTTTGTTCCTCAATCATATGAACTTTCTTGAAATACGCAGTGGCGAAAGCATCCACCATTAGGGTTCCCATGGCAGCACACATGGCCACAAAACCAGTGAAGGGAAAGTCTGCCCATGGATGTTCGCTCAAGCAAGGAGACTTCAAGTTCTCGAACGCGTCGGGAAGGACGTGAATGAATCCGGTGGACAATATGACGCCGGCGGCAAAGGCCTTGATGAAGAAGAAGAAGTCCCTATCAGGACTTAAGAATGAGACAAACTTTCCGATGACCGGAATCAAAACTCCGATGACACTCGCAAAGAGTATTGAAGCTATGGCTGCAAATTTATACCTAAAAGCCCTGGCTTTGTCGCCAACGACTTCGTCTTCTTTATTGCATGTACAGTTACACTCTGAAACAACTAGGGCTGGAAGAAGAACAAGCAAGAGGAAGACGAAGAAAGTGAAGACTTTGGTGGTTTTGGACATGGCGCTAGGTAGAAGCTGGCCGGAGAAGGAGACAATAAAGTGGGTGTAAGACAATTTTGTGATTTTTATTGGAGAATAGTGACGATGACATCCCTGAGAGCTTTGATACACATTGAACAAATTAAAAACCTTGAAAATATCCGGTGGATGCTTTGAAGTTTAAAGCCAATACAGAAAACATCAAGGGAACAAAGTGTCGTTAAGAAATAGAATTTTTTTCAGAAAAAAATTGAAAATTAATGGTCGATAAAAGTGAAAATATCTTTAAAATATGTTAATTGTATTCCAAATTTAGGTATAAGTTTAGGAGTTCATTATAGTTTTTCAAGATGAAAAGATTTAATGTTTGAAGGGGAAAAGAAAAAGACCGAATCAAGCCACTTTTACGCATAATAATTGTTTGGTGGATATATTTCAACATATCTTATATCTGCGTTTGTATCATATTGTTTCCTAGGCACCCATAAACCATGACAGAAACCTGTGAGTTCCAAGCTTAGCCCTTTTTTAGACTATACATTAAGACATAAACCTTGAAACACATATTCTTGATCAAGGTAAAAAAAAAAAAAACCTCATATTCTTGATGGCAAAAGAAAAACAAAGAAAAAAAAAAGAAAAGGACTTATTCTTAGTAAACTTTCGTTGAATATAATTAATACAGGAAAGGCAAACTTTAGTCGCTGTACAGGTGGTATGTGTTATATCTAATCCTTAGTATAAGAACTAGTTAACTAATTTGAGTAGGTTAAAAAAAATTAGTTAAATTAATTATTTGTAATAAATGAGTGTTGTCTTTCCTAAAATACTCTTACAGTCTTACTAATAGCTAATCATGTATATTAGCTAGAATTATTATTTGATGAAATATTTAATATGTACAGCTATTATAATGACTACCTTAATAAAAAAGATAAATATGATAAACAAAATAAATTGAAATTTATTTTTAAGATCAAATTAAATATCAAATTAGTTCTTACATTAAGTAACGTATGCTAATTTTGTTTAGTTTGACTATCCAATTGATGACATCCGTATATATAACGAAATCCACAGAGATTCCTATCCAAAACGCGTACTTTCCACTCATGAACCTTCCAATATTGTAAAACATTTAATTTTATAATTTCTGAAATTAAAGTAGTCTTTGTTATTGTTTACAACCACAAGTCTACTGTTTTAAGATTTTTGTTAGAATAATTTTGCTCTCGTTTTGGACCACACGGTTACAATTGCTCGCTGCCAGTCGTCATTTTGTTTTGTTGGTCACCTTCATTGAATTTTCCTAATGCTCTACTACATATTATTGACCGCACAAATAATAAATAAATAGATAAAGCAAATTATTGAGTGCTCCTGCTATTCTTTGAAAAATTTAAGAAACACAAACGTTAACGTAACGAATTAAAGAGGATGCTCTGCAAAAATTCCGATTCCAAATCAACAAGATCCATCCATAAAATTTAACAAGTAGAGGTGGGCTGGGATTATAATAAATAAGTCACATCATTTATAATTTATGAATTGTGTGTCTGTCTAAACTATTAATTATTATAGTATATAAAGTAAAAAGATTTTTTTTATTAATATAAGTTAATTCATTAAATTTATTGTACGAGTATACAATTTTATTATTTTGTAAACTATTGTTTTTTTTAAAAGTGTATATATTGAATAAAAATAAAATAGAAAAGTTATTAAATTTAAAGACAGGTTAATAACCTGCCAGGTTTAAGATATTTTTGTTGATTATATAATAAAACAAGTTCATAGTATCTTATAATTAGAATTGGCTATGTATCGATAAACTTTAAACAGTCCTCTTTATAGTAGACAAATCAGAATTAACTTATATATGAAAATTATACTTCCTCCACTTATCCAAAAAGAAAATTTTCTCCAATTTTTCCCGTATAATATTCCACTAAGTTTGATAAATCAAGTTCAAACAAATGCAAAGGTTAATAATATATCATACATGAATAAAAACAATATATAATGTGATACATATATAAATATATTCATTTGATTAATTTAATTGGATGATAAGTTCATTCAGCCTTATCAAATCCCCTGCTTAAGAACTCCTTAAGGCATTAAAATAAAATATGATAGCATCTAAAATTTAAAAATACATTTTATCCAATTTGAAGAGACAAGTATTATTTTGCCTTTTCTCGTGCATAAAATCTGCAGCATTTTTTTGTTCGGACTGAAAATCTGCAGCATTTAACAAATTAAAAAGTTGATCCAAGAATAGTTATGATATCTCAATTTGTTTCAGAAAAAATGGATAAACAATACAACAACAATAACAAAACCTTATCCAACTAGGTGAAGTCAGCTATATGAATTGTATGGTACTATTGAACTCTATCTAAAGCCAAATCTTTGAATATATAATTAATTAAAAGATCTCACTTAAGAACCTCATTAAGTGTTGTCTTTGGCCTTTCTCTATTCCTTTTTATTAAAAGATTTTATACTGCTTGATCAACTCTTTTCACCAACGCATCCAAAGGCTTTTTTTGTGTAACACCTTACCTCTATTCACCAGTAGGATTATTTTCTTTCACTTTAAACCACTAAGAGCCAGGTTTCATCCCGAAAAAAAAAAGGAGTTTTTTTTTTTTGCTTACTTTCAAAGCAACCTATAACTAATTAAATATATAATTAGCAGGGCTTAACATTCAATACCCTGGCTACTGGTCCGTACAAAAGGGTACATATACTCATATATACAATCTGGGCATAATAAAAACTATATATCAACATGTAGGCTATTCCTATCAATGGCGGTCATTATAGTTTATCTGCCCTTAGTCATCTCCTTATGGAAGAATATTTACACAACAAAATATATACACATTATATCCTTACTCCAAAATAATAAAATACAAGAAGCATTTTAAGCAAAATATATATACACAAGATCTCTTGCTTCTTCTTTCACCTTCAAGATCTATCAATCACTACTCTTTTGCCTTTAGAAGTACTTGCTTTTGCTGTATGACATGAAAAAAGTGATGAGATTCTAAAAAATTCTAGCAGTAAAATTCCTTCATGTAATCATACAAGATCACAAATAAACATGTTACCCAAGCTAGAGAGAAAAACACCTTGCAACCAAATATAATAATTGATGAACAAGCATCATGCACTTACATAGCTGATCGCTAACTATAGTGTCCACATTCCAAAATAAATGGAAACAGTCACATGTTGTCATGACAAATCATATCCCGCAAAGGCAATTTACATGTTCTCATACACAATCAGCATCATGACACATCCAAATATGAGGCAATTAATGCACAATCACAAGAAAGGAAAAGAGTTACTACTTTTTACTTTTTCTTCAGTACTACCTTCCCCTTGCTTCCTTCTTAGCTTCTTTCTCAATGGACTTGGACAAATATCAAATCTAATATATTTTATAGGCAAGGATATATATATATATATATTAATAAGTATATAAATTATTAACTATTGTATTAAAATAACATGTTCATTATAGCTTGAATTCCTTATAATCAATTATATAAACTTGTCTATTTCCCTTATACTTCACAAATTTGTTTTGCTTATCTTTCCTTCTTAATTTGAAGAATTCATTTTTAGGCTCTAAGTTACAAAATTCCAGCATCTTTCCCAAATTCCTACATAGGCCAAGACATATATATGTAACTAGATCATTTATTCCAAGTCTTCCAACAATGAATTAGCACCCTTGAATATTTTCAAGGTGCTTATAATTTATAATAACAGCATTCCTTTCTTACGACTGTGAAATTCCAGCTTCACAAACATCATTCTATCCACCATTTAAAAGTCCCCTAGTTTAAAATTAAATTTCCTCTTGAAACCCACTTGACCGAAAATACTTTCCATGTATCTATATATATAATTAAATAATTGCCATGTGATTTAGTTTCAGCTCCCACACCATTAACATCACGCCACATCCAGCAAGTCTGACATTTTCCAGATTAAAATATATATACTCCCAAAATAATCACCAAGTCACCAAAAGAAGGAGTCAACGTTGTGCAGTCCCATATATATGTATATCGCATAATCTCTCTTCAATTTCATCAAAACCGACACTAAAATAAAAACATAACATAGAGTTTAATTTTAGGATCACAGACCCAATTTTTAGACAGTCATAAGCCAGAAAAATCATTCACATGGAGTCCGAACCATCCTCCAGGATCTTCACCCAAATATCATCATCAACATTCTAATCTACCCAGAAGTTTGACAGCAACGAGAAGCAAGGAAAGACTTTGACTTCAACATCTTATGAACTAGATTCGGCCAGCCATAAACCAGAAGCAAAGGTCAAAACCAACATACATATATATCAACATTAAATTTCTTTCTTCCCAAAACCTCAGAACCCGACATCCATAGCTCCAAAAATTGAGCCCTTGCTTCGGATTCAGAAAACACAGACGAGTAAAGAACATTTAGACCGAAGAACACAGATGCAAGGCACACACACACACACACACACACACACACCTATATTTATGAATAAGGCTCCAAAATTGAGCCCTTCACTTCTTAACTCTGTAAATTCGAAATCCATGAAGCACAACTTAGAGATTTCAAATCCTTCTACCAGATTGCTCATGCCTTGCTTCGGAAACATATATAAGAGCAAAAAAATCACATGCAACACTGTCTATCAACATGCAGACCCAAAAACTACCGTCACACGCTTAAATCTTATCATAAAACATAAAGTCACCGATCCTCCTCTCCATTCCTTTACTTTCTCTCACTAACCAGACTTTCTCACTCAACCATTGCACCTTATTAAGCCACAGATCCAAGGAAACAAGAGTAGAAGGAAGTTCTGGAGACTCACCTTGGTTGGCAACACGGATTGCATGCACTAGAAACCACCTCCAGCCACTCCTCCTTCACCGTCTCTTTCTCTCGGTCTCCCCCCCGTTCTCTGAACTGTATCTCTCTCTCTCTCTCTCTTCTTTTGGTCCCAGACGAAAATGAGAAGGCTGGTGACTTTTGTGAAATGTCTATTATGCCCTTCACTTAATTCCTCATTTCTAATTCTATCATTTCTTTATAATTCTGCAATTATAAAATAAATTCAGAAATTATTCCACGACATTTTATATGGATTTTCCTTATCCAAAGCTTCCTTGACCCCTAAAATAATTTTCATAAAAATTCCAGGTCAAAAATCAATTCCCAACTATTTTTTTTGAATTTTTCAAGAAAATAGCATTTAATTCTAAAAACTAATCCTTAACTCATTTTAAGGATTTTATGCCTCAATTAGCTTCTTTCCTCATAAAATAAGTTTTTTAAAGTCTTCAGCTCAAATATAAACCAAGCCAATGTATGAACAGTAAATGGATGAACAGTAAACATATCAAATTTAACCTTGAAAGTCCAGATGTATGTATTGTTATAAAATACCAATACTACCAGTCCGGACTTTTTTTTTTCCAATTAAAGGGAAAGATAGTAATGACATGAAGGTATAAGTAGGATTGAACTAGCAATCTCTGATTTTTTTTTTTTTAGAAGAGAATACTTATACCACTAGATTACAAAATCATTGGCCCAATCTGGTTTTTGATATAAGACATCTTCTAAAGATTTCCATAGCCGTAAATATAAATATAAGGTACTTTGCAAAACGGTAATAGCATTCATTTTTTTTTTCACAGATGCCGTTATTAGTTGTATTATGAGAAGAGATTATGTATTTTCTTTATTCTTATAAAATACTACCTTCACTCCTTAATATAAAACCTTGTTTGATTTTTATTTTAATCCTAGTTATAAGACCCAAATCTAGTTTGTCTTTCATATTTATCTATTTTTTCCCAAACTATTCTTTATAATAATGGTAGTTTTAGCCAATATACTTGATTAGCAAGGATATTTTAAGAGAGATAACACCTATTTATTACAAATAACTAATTTAACTAGTTTTCTTATTCTACTCAAATTAGTCAACTAACTCTTATACTACCTCCGGTCCTAATTATAAGACCCAGTTGACTAATTTGAGGAGATTAAGGAAGTAAGTTAAGTTAGTTATTTGTAATAAATAAGTGTTGTCATTCCTAAAATATCCTTGCTAATTAAGTGTATTGGTTAAAATTATCATTATTAGAAGAACTATTTTGGAAAAAAATACATAAATATGATAGACAAAATGGATTGGGGTCTTATAATTAGGACCAAACAAAAAGTCAAACGGGGTCTTATATTAAGGACCGGAGGTAGTATTAAAGACTGATAGTAGTTAAAAGTGTCATCTATTAAGGAATGATACTATTGACTCCTTGACCACAGTTAGGAACTTCAAAGTATATGTGTATGAAGTCTACTGTAAGCTGTTTTTTGTTTATATTTATATATATATATATATATATATAAAAAAACTTAGAATATCTTCAAATCATTTTGGATTTAAGACTAATTTCTGTTGGGCTGAAAGTATTAAGATTAAAGTTCTCCCAATAAGTATACTTTTTAATATTTGAACTTGTATTCTTCTTTTTACAGAATAGGACCATTTATTTTTTTTACTAAAAAACATTTATTATTTCAACCAGCAGCGCATTGTAGTGCAAACTGTCCTTCCCTCCCCCCCCCCAAAAAAAAAAAAAACGCCAACTTGCAAATTGCAGGCCGAAGATCAAAATCTTGCTTAGATTGTCGTAGTTACTGGGGTCCTACTCCTGCCTAGTCATTGGTCTCTATAGAATGTAAATCTTTTATTAATATCGAAATAATTTTTTGATAATAATTTTTTTATCACGACAAGCAGAGGTCACTTCACCTTGACAGTTGGTTCCTTGTTCCTTCTTGGCTGATCAAATCCCCTGCAAAAGAACTCCTTAAAGAATTATATTAAAATGTGAAAGCTCCATTGCCCTAACAATTATTTATTTGACTCAGAGACTCTAGCTGTGTTTCAAACGGCTCGCTTCATCACAAAATAATAATAATAATAATAATAATAATAATATTGATGTCAATTAAATTGATTTCTCAGATCCAACGTCAATGAAAGAGGCTGGATGTATTTCTACCGGGGAAAAAAAAAAAAAGATGCTGGATGTATTTGACCGGAGAATAGCCAAGATTCTTCTTCATCTATTATAATATATTATTATCATTTTTTTTAATTAAATACGATTTGAACGCATCCACCCAAGCATGTCACAGCCGAGTTTGAACCAGGAGCTCATCTATTACGATTTTACGATATATTATTATCATATTTGGACTTTTATTACTATTCAAATAACTGTAATTAAGTTAAATAATACAAATCCTTACAAATATAAAGGATTTGGCTTCAAAAAATATTTTTAAAATAATGTTGAACCATCACGCGGGTATTTTCTATATGATATTAGCGAGTAGCGACAATGTTGAACTAGTTTGCAAGTTAATGGTTATCGAATAGAAAATACAATAATTTGCAAGGATTGTATGGATTAATTGGCATTATTGAATTTGTACACCAGGTTAATGGTTATCGAATCAATTATCTTAATGAGAAATTTGCAGTAAACTAATAAATACAATTACATGATTTAATTAAAATTTCACTTACCCCCCCCCAAAAAAAATCTTCGTCCAAATAGATATGTTACAAATAAACTATGACAGAAACTTGTGAGTTCCAAGCTTAGCCCTTTTTTAGACTCTACATTAGGACATAAACCTTGAAATACACATATTCTTGATCAAGGTTTAAAAAAACCTCATATTCTTGATGGCCAAAGATAAAAACCGAGAAAAAGAGAAAAACACTTATTCTTAATAAACTTTCGTTCAATATGATTAATACAAGAAAGGTAAACTTTAGTCACTACACTGATGGTATATATTACCTTCATATACACCTCAATATAAAAACTAATTGACTAATCTGAGTAGATTAAAAAAATTATTCAAGTTAATTATTTGTAATAGATAGGTATTGTTTTTTCTAAAATATCCTTACTAATAATGTATATTAGCTAGAATTATCATTTGATAAAATATTTAACACAATGACTACTTTAGAAAAAAAAAAGATAGATATGATAGACAAAAGAAATTGAGATTTATGTTTAGAACCAAATTAAATATCCAATTAGCTCTTATATTAATGATCATAAGCTAATTTTGTTGAGTTTAAACATCGAATTTGACATCCGTTTGTATGAACAAATCCACAGAGATTCCCATGCAAAACGCGTTGTTTCCACTCATAAACCTTCCGATATTCTAAAACATTTAATTTTATAATTTCTGAAATTAAAGTAGTCTTTGTTATTGTTTACAACCACAAGTCTACTGTTTTAAGATTTTTGTTGGAATAATATGGCTCTCGTTTTGGACCACCCAGTTACGTTTGCTAGCTACAAGCTGTCATTTTGTTTTGTTGATCACCTTCATTGAATTTTCCTTGTGCTCTACTTTATATTGTTGACCACAGTACACAATTTGGTTTTTGATAAAAGACATCTTCTAAAAGGTTTCTACATTCTCAAATATAAGTTACTTTGCAAAACGTTAATAGCATTAAATTCTTTCATTTTCTTTACACAGATGCCCTTATTAGCTGTATTATGAAAAGAGATTATATATGTATTGATTTTAATTGGATGATAATCTCATTAAAAGTAGTAATTTTTCTTTTTTATCGTTTTAATGATGCAAACGATTGTAAGCATTTTTCCTAATCCTTATTAAAAAGCGTCATGTATCAACTATTGACGAATGGTGATACCATTGACTCCTTGCCCACAAGTAGAAATTTCAATGTGTATGAATTCTAGTGCAAACTGTCTTTTTTTCCGACGTCAACTTGCAAATTGCAGGAAAAAGATCAAGGTGCGTTTAGACTAGCAGTGATAAAAGTGAATTTTTTTTTCCCATCTATCTAACTTTTATAAATGTAAATTAATGTAAAAGTCAATTAGTATAATGTGATTTATATTTAGTTAACTTTTGAAAAAAGTCAATTTGACAAACTAAAACTTATTTGAATGATTATTAAAAAGAATAAGTTTAGATATAAAATGATTCAAAAAATATAAATTTTATTAAATAATACTACCTCAAGTCCTTAATATAATATCAATTTATAAGGATGACAAATTAGTTTTTTAAGAAATAAATATGAATACTTTAAGATAATTTATTAATTTCTTTAATCTCGGCAAATAATTCAACTAGTTCGATGTAATACATTATATATTATATACATAATACGATAATTTTAAGAGATATATTAAAATTAAAAATTATAAAAATTGTATTATTGAAAAAATAGAAAATAATGTGGACCCATTTTTGAGTTTTTCAAAATAATTTTATGGGCAAACTAGAATAATTTATTTTTTTCTCGCAAAAAATTAATCTTTTATTTTGTCAAAATAATGTGGACCCACCTCTTTATCTTTCTCTCTTCCTTTTTTAACCAAGCCAACGCATAAAAGCCATCAAAAGTCGCAATGACCGGCTGTGCGTGTTTTATAGAATATGAAATAAATATGTGAATTTTTTTTATCTAAATTAATATAAAATATGCTTATAAATATTTATATAAATGATACCAAACAATTAATAAAGCTAGTTGCCAATCAAAAGTCGTTTGGGTGATGATATTTTTCATTTTGAGCTGAATAATAGTGATAATAATTTTTTCATCACGACAAGCACAGGTCATTTCACTTTGACAATTGGTTCCTTGTTAGCGGTCAAATCCCCAGCAAAAGAACTCCTTAAAGAATTATGTTAACATGTGAAAGCCCCGTTACCTTAACAACAATTTATTTGACTCAGAGACTCTGTCTAAGTTTCAAAGAGGTCGGTTCATCATTAAAAAAAAATAATAATTTTTTTTTATGTCAACTAAATTGATTCCTCAGATCCAATGCCAATCAAAGAGGCTGGATGTATTTGACCAGAGATTAGCCAAGATTCTTCTTCATCTATTATAATATATTATTATCATTCTTTTTAATTTAACACGATTTGAACGCATCCGCCCAAGCGTGTCGTAGCAGAGTTTGAACCAGGAAGTCAGGAACCCATCTATTACGATTTTACGATATACTCCTCCGGTCCTAATTATAAGACCCAATTAACTTATTTGAGGAGATTAAGGAAGTAAGTTAAGTTGGTTATTTATAATAAATAAGTGTTGTTATTCCTAAAATATCCTTGCTAATTAAGTATATTAGCTAAAACTATCATTATTAGAAGGATTATCTTAGAAAAAAATGCATAAATATAAAAGAGAAAATGGATTGGGTCTTATAATTAGGACTAAATAAAAAGTCAAATTGGGTCTTATAATAAAGACCGGAGGAGTATTATTATCATATTTGGAATTTTGTGATTATTATTATTCAAATTACTGTAATTAAGTTAAATAATATAAATCCTTACAAATATAAAGGATTTGGCTTCTAAAGATAATTTTAAAATACTCCTCCAGTTACACTATAAAATGGATATTATATTTAGAATTGAAGAAATACTAAAATACGATCTAAGTTATCGTGTACGATCACGAGGATATTTTTCATATGATATTAGTGACAATGTTAAACAAGTTTGGAGGTTAATGGTTATCGGATAGAAAATACGATAATCTGCAAGGATTGTATGGATTAATTGGCACTATTGAATCTGTACACCAGGTTAATGGTTATCGAATCAATTATCTTAATGAGAAATTTGCAGTAAACTAATAAATACAATTACATGACTTAATTAAAATTTCACTTATGCTCCCCCCCAAAAACAATTTCTTTATCCAAATAAATATGTTACAAATAGAACAACTTATCTCCAACTTATTTATAACTGGCTATGGAAAACAAAGACTTCAAAATTACAAGAACAAAAACTTTTCTTTCGTGCTAAGCAACTGAAAATTACAAGTAATGAAGTGTACTACGTCAAGCCCATTTAGCTATAAGAGACATTAAACCAGCACCTAAAAGTAAGGATAAATTTGATCCAATCTGAAGACGACTGCTATTTTGCATTCTATCAGTCATAAAATCTGCAGCCAAAAGATCAACAAGTGCCATATATATTAAGATTCCTGCCGATGCTGCGTTAAATATTCCTTCAACGATCAAAGCATTCTGGCTATTCTCATCATACACATTCGTAATTCCTATTCCAATGGCTATTCCTACTGGAGTCGTCAGAGCAAAGAACAAAGCCATCACTGTAATAGTTTTGTTCTTGAATTTCGCCTGCAATATGGGATTAAAAAAGAAGGAAAAAATTATAACAATAAATATGGGACTTTTTATTTGATTTTTTTTTAAAAAAATAAAAATGAAGTTGATTGATACAGCTAATTAACAGATGAGCCGTAACCACAGAAATTTGCGGATTTGGAATATATTTCTGTGTGCGGTTCATATCCTTTTGCTTTTTCATTCGACAAAGACGATATTAATTAAAGGCTTAATAGCATATTTAATCTGAGACCGGCCTCTCTCCTCCACTCTTCTCCTCCTTTATCACCACTGGATCAAATCTTAATGGTCCAGATTTTATATTTTTTTAAAAAATTATTATTTTTGGACAAAAATATTTTAATTTTACTTTAAATAATACATAAATAAATCTCAACTGTTAAAATATGATGTGAAGAGTTCCCAAAAAAAAGGTCTACTTTATAATAATAACAATAATAATTTGATCTAACTAGTGTAGAGCCAAAGATTATTATTATTATTATTATTATTATTATAAAGTAGATTTATTCCTATGAACTTTTCAGATCATATTTTAACAATTCAAATTTATCTATGTATTTTTCAAATAGAGGAGAGAAGCTAGGTGTCTTTAATTTTCAATTTTTGAAATTTAATTTCATTTTGATTTTATTCATAAAATTTGAAATCCACGTCAAGAGATTGACTTTTATCGATGACATCAAACTTTTAGGGACCAGCAGTAACCCTTAATTAAATTGAAAACGTACCTATCCTATGCCATAGAATAATGTTCTTTTTGACTTTTCAAAACGTACCTGAGTGATACAGCTTCCAAGACCCATGCCTTCAAAAAATTGATGAAATGTCAAGGCAGCAACCAAAGGCCTTATGGTTTTGGGACTCTCAGATGCTCCCAAAGATATCCCAATTATCACTGAATGAACTATTATCCCCAGCTCCAATACCTTCAATTCCATTCAAAAACCCAAATCATTTTCCCACAATTAATAATTCAACTTTCACTAATATTCTTAAACGGAAAAGGAAAAAAAGAAGCAGCAGCAAATAATGATGATCTATCTGTGTTTTTATATATATATATATATATATATATGCGCACACACACATACACACTACCTTTTCATTCTTAATATAAGAATTTGTTTGATTGTTATTTTGATCCTAAATATAATGACCCTAATCCACTTTGTCTATCATATTTATGTATTTTCTTTTAAATTAGTCATTCTAATAATGATAGTTCTAATCAATACACTTGATTAGTAAGGATATTTTTTGAAAAAATAACATCTATTTATTACAAATAACTAACTTAACTTTTTTTTAATCTCCTCAAATTAGTTAACTAACTCTTATAATTAGCGTCGGAGGCAGTACATACCTGTGATATGACTCTGTGACGAAGGAGCTGAGATGAAGCAGAATCAGATGATCCATGGGCATGGCCATGAGTGGCGTGAGTGTGAAGATGAAGATGACCATCATGTGCTGAGTTTTTCTCTTCGTCTACATCATTGCCGGCTTCAATCGGGCCATTATTGTTCATATGGTGTTTCTTGAAATACACAGTGGCGAAAGCGTCCACCATTAGGGTTCCCATGGCCGTACACATGGCGACAAAACCAGTGAAGGGAAAGTCTCCCCATGGATGATCGCTCAGGCAAGGAGACGTCAAGTTTTCGAAGGCATCAGGGAGGACGTGAATGAATCCGGTGGCTAATATCACGCCAGCGGCAAACGCCTTGACCATGAAGAAGACGTCCTTCTCGGGACTTAAAGCCGGCACAAACTTTCCTATGACCGGAATCAAAACTCCGACAGCACTCGCAATTAGTATAGAAGCTATGGCTGCTATTTTGTACCTCAGAGCCTTGTCTCTGTCACGATCTTCGTCTTCATCTTCACATGTACACTCTGAGACAACCAAAGCAGGAAGCACAACCAGGAGGAAGGCGAAGAAGACGAAGGCCTTGGATGCTCTGGCCGCCATCATGGTGTTTCGAGAAAGGGAGAAACCGGAGAAGCACTTAAAGTGGGCGTGAGAGAAATTTTGGTGGGATTTATTGAAAAATATGGCGACACGTAAAACTGGAACAATTGGTTTTATGTGGGTGATTTGATTTGATTCATTAAAAGCAATGAATTTGAGGGAGAAATATAGAAAATATTGGGTGACTTTAAAGCGAAGAGAGAGTATATGTAGAGTGTCGTTAAATGTCGACATATCTGCTAGCATAGCGAATAACATATTTTAGTTTACTCTGTGGTCAACGGGTTCACATGGAGACTTACCCTATTATGTCGAAATGTTTTGAAATTTTCGGTTAATAATTAATATAGCCAAAGCTAATTATGTGGATCCACCGTCCACACTATCTCTAATTTTACCCCCTGAAAATAGAATGAATTACTGGACGAGCTCTATATTACACTCTCAATTTTTATTAAAATTTTCTTATTTTATTAGTCATGTGATATTGAGTATCTACGGTGTTAATAATCTTTTACATATTTTGAACAAAATTTGCATTTTAATCATTTTGTTATAATGAGTCATTAGACTCAACCCAAATTAGTATTAGTAGTATTATTGATGATTATACTAGATGATCATGATGTTGATTTCACTTAATTTTGAATCCTAATTTCAGATAGTCCCGTCATGGAGTCAATTAGTGGACACCTTTAAACTCGACACAAACTTTAGCATCCAAAAGTCGAAGATATACGTTCTCCCGTTTGGGATATCCCTTTATAGATGAGGTGGTCCAAAGCCGCTAACACTGCAAGAATCCTAGTAAGTTTGTCTCCAAAACACTAGGATCCTTGAAACGGGTAATGTTTGAGTTAATTATATTATCCTCGAATTACTCTTGCTTATTTCCTTCATATGATTCGATCCACAAAGGTCCAAATTTGACGATAAAAGTCAATTATATTCGAGTGAACAATCGGTGGGAACTTTTCACCAACCCAGAAGAAACATTGAAAAAGTCTATATACTCTTATCATTTACTATTTGTGTATCAAAACTCGCTTCTTTATTGAAAAAAAAAAAATTAGTAAAAGCTAATGAAGACAAATAAAGAGATCCCTTTTTAACTTTTATAATGGGAAGTAAGATTCTCTTTTGCAAGATTTTTTGTTGGTCCGCAGGAAGGAGGTCTGTATTGTTCAGACGCAACTTATTATAATCACTAGTGGGGCATTTGTGTTGGGTTTTAACTGCTCATGCAGTCTTTTTCGCTATTGTTGGCCGAACAGAGAAACAAGAAAAGAAAGAGATGAAGGCTGTTCAAGCCACTCATGAAACTCAAGCTTCAATTTGACACGTCAGTACTCTTCAACAATTAGTCTGTCCCAAGTAACCAACAGGGGTTGGTTGAGTAAAAACAACTGGGGCTTCTAAGAACGTTGATTTCCCTCAATTGAACCTTGACAACACTTAAATCAGGACTCATATAAATATATATATATATATATATATATATTAACTACTCCTCCGGTCCTAATTATAAGACCCAATTGACTTATTTGAGGAGATTAAGGAAGTAAGTTAAGTTGGTTATTTATAATAAATAAGTGTTGTTATTCCTAAAATATCTTTGCTAATCAAGTATATTGGTTAAAACTATCATTATTAGAAGGATTATCTTGGAAAAAAATGCATAAATATAAGAGAGAAAATGGATTGGGTCTTATAATTAGGACCAAATAAAAAGTCAAATTGGGTCTTATAATAAGGACCGGAGGAGTATATCATATGACAGGCAAGGCCTGAGGTGGGGATCAAACCCTAAATCTGATGCAACAAAAGGCACATCTCATGCCACTAGACCGAATGGTCTTTGGCAAGAAAAGAATTAGTCTATCCCAAGTAAACAGATTCTCGCACTACTAAATTCCATTCAAACCAATATTCAAAGGCCAAGTATTCTGGAGGCAACTGGGCCGCCAGCAATAGACATCTCAGCAGGATATACATAATAGAAATAGAAGGCCAACCAGAAGAGAAGAGGGAAGCCCAAATATATAAAGAAATTTAAAATTCCACCCATAACAACAAAATCTGGAATTTAGAGCCTACCATTTTAACAAGAAATTGTGTCATTGATTTCCCTCACTTGGTGGCCTGTGCAATTATGTTACTCAGTGAACTGGCTTCCTCCTTCGCAGTCTCCACCAATGCATCCTGAAACCCAATACATTAAACGATTTGTTCTTGAGGGTTCACAGGAAGAAAATGCCCCACAGATAAATTGACAAAGACTTGATTATTATACCTGTGCAGCTATCAACCGAGCAACTGTTTTCTTGCTGGACTCTTGAAGCTCACCAGCAATTAGAAGTTCGTCTAGTATATAGTAGGCCTTCCATCATAATCAGATCAAAGAACGTATCAGATAGGATCTTATCAAACTAAAGAATAGGTTATGTTAGTATTTAAGTTTTGCATTTGGTCCTTTAAATTAACTTCATGATGAGAGATAGTTTAACTTCTAATCTGTAATGAAATTTCATATCATGTATATTATAAAGCGTCAACTCTGTCAAGACAGCAACAATCAGCGTCTTGTTTGTCTACTGACTTGGTAGACGAAACCCAAGTTTTAGGGTACATATGATACCAATTGGAAATTAGAAAACCGATATATCATGAAGGAAATTCATGGGACAGACATACTAATTTAACCTAAAAAATGAACATATTAAATTATCGTTTGGAGTTGATTCATCTTGAACATCAATAACAGCAGCAGACTAACAAGTGAGAAGGCACAAACCTTGTGGAAATTAAATATTAAGTCCAACTCACATACCTGCAACAGGTCAAGTACTTGATATTAAAATAAAGAAGAAATACGAAATTCTTGGATCCTTTCCAGAAAGAATGGGAAATACTTCTGTCATACAATCAGCGCCCTTATAAAGTGAAAGCTTAAAAGAACTCACACTGCCAAAATATCGATCAAGGATCTCAACATAATGATGAATTATCTCAAGCACTTCTAATTCGTTGTCATCTTGGTCAATACACATGCAAAAGTAGAGGCTAGCATATCTGCAGAGGACATCATCCATTTCAATAAAGAATTGATCATTGTCAAGATAACCAGAAATGTGCTCTTCAAAGCAGTAGCAATATATGATGAAAGGCCATGGTTTCTCGGTAAAATACCTTTTATAAACAACTTTATATCCTCTCCAATCCACAAAATTACAGAGCTTAGGAGCACGAGAAAGAATCACTCCACTGAGCTCACGGATAACCTTTCCAAAAACACAGATTTTTCAGCCAGAGATGGATCATGAAGAAATACAATGAATTCAACATGGAGTTATATGATAACATCATTACTTATGCAAGATAAATTAAAGTCAAATTAAACATAGATGTATACACTACTTGTAGTAAGTTAAAGTACAGTTGTAATAAGAGCTGATCTGTCCAGCAATCTTTGGAAATGAAAAATAGAAAACACAGTTGCCAGAATTACCTTTGATCTTTCTTTTTGTGTGTATGGTGAATACCATTTTGTAAGTCTCACTTTCCCTTGACGGCTAATAAGCAGCACAAAGTGAATCTACAAGTAACCAAGCAACAAAGGATGATGACAATGGAAACAAACCAAAAACGTTAATCCAATAACATGATGCAGAGTTGCCGGTGCAAAATAACACTTCCGCGTTCTGTCATCTCTGTATTAAATATTACAAGTTAATAATCATAAGATCAAAGGAGGCTACCTAAAAGCTTGAGTGTTCTGACCTCAAGCATCAGATTATCCTGGTCATGGGTGAAGACATCCTATCCTATTATCATAAAGTCATATGCATTTAACATGATGAGAACAAATAGTGGACGCCACCTTCATAATTGGAATCCCTCTTGGCATCAATTAATACTATCAAACTTGGAGATAAAGATATAACAGTGCAGTATTCACACACATTGAAAGTCCTCATTAGTGGTAGACACGCACACACATTTTATCTATTTATCCCTGAAACTAATAATGTCAATTAAAAAAAAAAAAAACTGAGAGGATCCAAATCTAAACATATGAAGGTTATGTGACGAAACCTGCATGTAATAACCGGCCAAGCTTGCTAATAAACCAAGGGTAAGTAATAAATATCAACTAGAAATAGGAACCAACGGTGAAGCTCTTGATAAAATCTGAGCCCATATTCATGTAATTCAAAGTAAACTTTAGATCAAGACGCAGGAAAACTTTTGAGAATGCCTAAGGATGTGTGGATTTTTCTGATTTGCTTGGTGCATCACTTCATACTGCAAAAGCACTACGGAAAGGCGGAGGAAGAACAAAAAGTTGTGGGACATCTGGGATTCATTGCTTCGCCAGGCATATGTAGTTTTTACTATTTCCTCTTGATCTAAACGTTGCGCTAAGCTATAACTGATTAGGTCATGAAAGAGATTAGCAAGGGAAAACCACTGATCTAATGAAACGTCCGCCCAATTTACTGGTCAATAACAAATGAAACGAAGGTTAGTCAGGGTGTAACTAGTTCTTCACCATTTCTGCTCCTTTAGAGGTGCAGGTCCTCTGTCCATTAAAATATATATATATATATATATATATATAAACATAAGGAAGTTGAAAAGCATTGAAATAATAAGAAGGGTCGATGTACCAAATCCACCAGGGAACTCAGATCTCGAAATTAGCAGGATCCCAGTTAGCGGATCACGATAGTAGCGCATATGTATTTGGGAGGGAAATAAAATTATCGTGAAAATGTATCAACAGCATAAAGAACAACGATCTCATCCGGATGCCAAATCAAAAACAGAAAAAACGACTTCCGTATAGCATAAAACTAAAAATTCTCAAGCTAGTCAAAAGGGTTTCCGCTCATCACCAGAAGAGGAGACCGACAAGCAGAAGTTCAATTGGGAAAAACATGAACTTAATAACCAATACCAAACAGTAATTTCTGCGGTGAAATCAAAATAACCAAATCGAGCATAATTGGGGGCGAGATCCAGTTTCTCACAGGAACAATATGAATTCAAGACTGGGAGAAACTTACCATTTGCGTCTGTGGGAAGATTGAGGACGCGAACCCCACTGAATCACTTGCCCAAACTCGACGGATACGG